TCACACATAGTACATCCATAAACAAACATAATGTAAAACATTCATTTAAAACAGCGGAAGCATTTAATAAAAGTGTCTTAGCCACACTTTGGCATACATGGGCATGCAAGCCCCCAAATAGTTATTCAAAATAATATCCATGAGCATTATTATAATTGTTTTTGAAATCAGAAAAACAGAAGAAGCACGAACCACGTCTTCTCCTCTGAATATCCCGAGCAACGGGCACCGGTAGCAACCTTCAAGACCTACCTGAAACTGTGAGGTGACCTCCCCCGTGAAGGGGAGGTCAGTACTTGGAAATATTTGACAAGTACAATAGCAACTATACTAAGTATAATCAACGTTTTAATTTCCAAGACCCTCAAAATAGGGTGATATCATAATATAAATAATAATTTATATTTCCCACTTATTATTCTTATAATAAGTAAATTTATTTATTCGTCGGCACACGGCCCTTCTTATATATCCCTTTTTATTTATCATTTTGCACAACCCAACCCTTGGGTCCTACTATTTCTACGGGACTTGTTACCGCTGTCCGAGACCTCATGAGGCTCCCGGTTCGGACTCCAACATCCCGCCCCTGGACTCGTACCCATCATCCCGTAGGAAGGTAAGGCCCTTCGGGATCCTATCTTATGTGTTACCGCTACCGGAACCTAGTTAGGTCTCCGATTCGGATTCCACCCTAACCTAGTTATCTCATGGGGCATAGGGCATATGAGTGCCGGAAGGAGAAGAGGCCCCAAACCCAGGGCCAAAACCAAGGGGTGCACAATCAGGGGAATGGCCAAGCCGGGGGTGGGGGTAATCACGTTAACAGTAACCGTGGTAACCCCGGCAACCGTCCAGCGGAACGCAACCGTAACCAGGGCCAGGGAGGGCAGAACAATAACCAAGGCCGAATCTATGTCATGAACCAAGCTCAGGCAAATGCCAACAACGTGGTGTCAGGTACATTCCTTGTAAATTCCACACCTGCTCATGTACTGTTTGATTCGGGTGCATCCCACAGTTTTATATCCTCAAAACTTGTGGAAAAGTTAAAGTTAGAACCTACCGCTACACTCAATCTTAATGTAAAAACAGCATCTAATAAAGTTGTAGCTTGCGGGAGTGTTTTCTCCAATGTTTCTATAGTCATATCCGATACCGAACTACCCGGAGATCTAATCCAATTTGACTTGGAGGATATTGACGTGGTGTTGGGAATGGACTGACTAGGAAAATATAAGGTGAGGATTCTTTGTGATGAACAAAAGGTGGTCTTGAGAGGACCCCACAAGAAGCGTGTATCCTACAAAATGGTTACATCTCAGCCGAGCGTGAAGCTGGCAACCATGCAACAAGTCAAACGATATGTCCGGAAGGGGTATGAAGTTTACTTATACATGATCCAAGACTTAACATCTGAAAAACCGACCATTGACCAAATCCCTGTGGTCAATGAATTTCCGGATGTATTTTCGGAAGAAATTCCAGGGATGCCGCCGGAGAGGGAAGTCGAGTTTTCAATTGATCTGGTGTCGGGCACCGCACCCATTTCGAAGGCACCATATCGAATGGCACCAAAAGAAATGCAAGAGCTAAAGGAACAACTCGAAAAACTGTTGGAGAAGGGCTACATCAAACCAAGTGTCTCACCTTGGGGCGCTCCGGTCTTGTTTGTAAAGAAGAAGGATGGGAGCTTGAGACTCTGCATCGATTATAGGGAGTTGAACAAAGCAACCGTCAAAAACAAATATATGTTGCCTCGCATTGATGACCTCTTTGATCAACTGAAGGGGGCTAGCACGTTCTCCAAAGTTGACCTGAGATCCGGGTACCATCAAGTGAGGATTGCTGAGAAAGACACTCCGAAGACAGCTTTTCGAACGAGGTACGGACACTATGAGTTCACCGTGATGCCGTTCGGACTAACAAATGCGCCTGCGGTATTTATGGACCTCATGAACCGTGTGTTCCGACCCAACCTCTGTCACGCCCCGGACCTAGCCGAACACGTCAACAACCCGCTGTACAGTACGAATAGTCAGCCGCAGCCCAACTCATCCAAACTATACAAGGCGTCATGAATATCATTCACACATAGTACATCCATAAACAAACATAATGTAAAACATTCATTTAAAACAGCGGAAGCATTTAATAAAAGTGTCTTAGCCACACTTTGGCATACATGGGCATGCAAGCCCCCAAATAGTTATTCAAAATAATATCCATGAGCATTATTATAATTGTTTTTGAAATCAGAAAAACAGAAGAAGCACGAACCACGTCTTCTCCTCTGAATATCCCGAGCAACGGGCACCGGTAGCAACCTTCAAGACCTACCTGAAACTGTGAGGTGGCCTCCCCCGTGAAGGGGAGGTCATTACTTGGAAATATTTGACAAGTACAATAGCAACTATACTAAGTATAATCAGTGTTTTAATTTCCAAGACCCTCAAAATAGGATGATATCATAATATAAATAATAATTTATATTTCCCACTTATTATCCTTATAATAAGTAAATTTATTTATTCGTCGGCACACGGCCCTTCTTATTCTACGGGACTTGCTACCGCTGTCCGAGACCTCATGAGGCTCCCGGTTCGGACTCCAACATCCCGCCCCTGGACTCGTACCCATCATCCCGTAGGAAGGTAAGGCCCTTCGGGGTCCTATCTTATGTGTTACCGCTACCGGAACCTAGTTAGGTCTCCGATTCGGATTCCACCCTAACCCGTGATCACGATGTAAGTCCATGCTATCCAACCCCACTCTCTAGAGTCAGGGAGGGCCATGGTCCTTACTTATTTTCATAATTCAACCGGTTATCCACAAGGACTACCGAGCACACCCGTAGGCCAATCCTATATCTAGGATCAATTTAATATTTACATTATCTTGGGTATCCCTTAAGGCCTACCCCTAGTATAACTTAAAGTTCATACTTTCCTACCTTAAAGCATCTCTTAAGACTACTTAAGGCATAACATTTCACAATCCAACCTTAGGATCAATCTTAACAACATTTCATTTTAATGTCCAACTAGTATCTTAATACTTGTCAAATTAATATCAACAAACCAAGTTCTCGACTCATAGTCATATAGACAATTCCAACTGATTTTCCTTTGAAAATATCATTTATCTCAATATTCAAAATATCACTTTTAATCACTCATATATTCTAATATGAAGAAAAAAGTATATTTCAACATATGTTTCATAATAAATTCCACTTTCAAGTCAACATACTCATAACACATGAACATACACAATTTACTCTTAAATTTGTATATCATGCTCCTTTTCTTTAGACATTTAGTCTTTTCATTTTTAGGCATTATTAATCATTAATAATCCATAAAAATACATTTAATTACCTTCGGTAATCTCATGAAATTAACTCACTAATTATAAGCAATATAGTCAGCCATCCTCACCTTATGAAGTGCTGAAATAGTTGCCTTTGCTAAGCTCCTCGATCAATCCCCGTTCTAGGCCGATTGAAGGTGTAGAACTGAACTGCTGGACAAAAGCCGGGCGGCTTTCACGAAAGCCGGGCGGCTTTCGTGGTCTGCAACTATGACTAGCTCCTTTGAATTGGCGGTTTCCGGCGGTTTCGACTCCTATCGATTGGCCAACCCTCCTAAGTTAATTACCACCACTTTATATCAATATTCTACACTTTTAAACGTGTAGAACTCATGATTTAATCCACCATATGATTTCTTTAAAATCATGCACAATAAAACTAGTTAAAAGAGTAGAAATTGTGTTCTTACCCTCTTCTTCTAGCTTTTCTTCTTGGATCCTTCTCTCCTCTTGGTTTCTTCAGCTCCAGAACTTTGAGAGCCTTTTCCCTGGACCTTATCTCCCTTGTGCTGGCCGAATGGATTGAAGAGAGGGTAGGGGAGAGGTCCTTTTCAACCAACACAATGATTTGTGTGGGATAGGACCCTAGCATAGGTTTTTGTCTCAAAGGAGACTTCCTCCCTCTCCCTTGTGCGTACCAGCACGTTTAGCTGCTCCCCTCCCCCATTATTTGATCAATCAGCACCCATAAAAACGTGGGGTGGCCCCCACTTATGTGGGAGGTCATCCCATTACGTCCCGGTGTGTACAATCGGCCCCGAAAGTTGTATTTCTCGGTCCGTTTTAATCATATTTTATTTTATCGGGCCAAATAAAATATATCACGTGTTCCTAATAATTATGGGCCTTTAGAATAGATGTATATTCCCCAACATTAATTTAGGAGTCTCCGAAATTCATTTCGGGCTGTTATCCGTTAAATTGCCAATACCGGTAATTGGGCCCCGTTTGACCAACCGGTCAACTCCATGCCTTTCTTATGGCCCAAATAGAATATCCACCCCCATATAGGTGTCATCTAGACCAAGATGAATATAATATGTGATTCGGGAATTATCGGGCGGTCCACGTTCCCGCTGTGGGCCCCACGTGCAATTTACTATTCACGTAAAAGAAATGATGAAATTTAACAATTACGCAAATTCATAAATCATCTTTCAAGGTTTATTACATAATTTACTTAAAGTAAATATGCTCGGGGTCGGTGTTACAACCTCGACTTGTTTACTATTGTATTCATCGACGACATCCTGGTGTACTCTAAGACACCAAAAGAGCACGAAGAACATTAGAGGGTAGCACTGCAAACTTTGAGAGAGAATCGGCTCTATGCCGAACTCTCAAAGTGTGAATTTTGGAAGGATCGGGTAGCATTCTTGGGCCACATCATCACCCAAGAAGGTGTATCCGTTGGTCCATCAAAGATCGAAGCATTGTTAGACTGACCTACACCCACAACCGTGACGGAGGTCCGGAGCTTTCTAGGCTTGGCAGGCTATTATCGTAGATTCGTGAAGGATTTCTCAAAGATAGCAAAACCTTTGACTAACCTCACGAAGAAGACCACAAAATTCAAATGGGGTGAGGAATGTTGTGACGCCCCCAAATTTCCCACCCAAAATAATACTTGGAAATAGAGATGGACTTTTATTTAATAATTAAACCTTCAAAAGTTTGCAGCGGAAATTAATAAAAACTAAGGAAAAGGGGCATGTCACCGCCACATCCAACCTTTGAATGGTTGAATGCTAAGGCTATCTACCCAAATGTAATTTAACAAAAATCTAGATGTTCGAATCATAAGCAAGTATCAAAGTTTAATCTAGTGAACTACATAGCGATCTTCTAGTTTGCGCTCTCAAACATTCCAGCATCAAAATCAACATGATCACCTCCTGTTAAATACGAGCACAAGAAAATAAAAAGAAAACAAACATTAGCAATAATGCTAAGTAAGTTCCACCTAACCTTTTAAAATAATAATAAATAATATATATAAAATCCGTACAACCTTTTAACATAAAATATTCTTCAAAACACTTTATAAATCATAAGTACATGATACCTATACAAAATCCCAATAACATAACCCATAATACCATAATAATTCCAAGATATATGAAACACCAAAATTCTCCTCTAATGAATTTCTCCCAAAAATCACTTTGTATCTAGCTTCCTAGTAATTTAGAAGGGCGGTGCTCAACACTTTGGTTGAGCCCGGTGGTCCGTTGTTATGTACGGCCACCCCGGGACTATCGCCGGTACCACAACTGCTCAATGGAAACGGAAACAACTACTTTAAGTGTGCACACCCCCTAAAGGTATTTCAAACCCTCCGGGTTAGTAAGTCGATCCGGGTAGCCGGGATGTTTTCTACCAACTACCCCACCTCAAAAACTAAATAATTAGGAGCTACTACTACCACTACTACTCAAAAGTCGGGATGTTTTCTACCGACCGTCAATTCACCTCAAACCAAAACCAATAACAATTGAGTAGTAGTAGACCTAACCACCCTCCACATTTTAAGGGACGTGGAAAACCAACACCACGGATTTCTCCCATGATGCTCACCCTTTATGAAAATATTTATTTTTCTGTGTTTTCTCAAAATCAATCGAAGTTTATACTTCAAAAATTTCCTTTTCATTAAACTCCCACAAAGATAACAAATTATGTACTATTACAAAACCTTCCAAATCATATACAATAACTCATATCAACAAAACAATATATCAACTAATATCTCAACTACAACCCTTTCATATAATAATATTCACTCAAATTCAGCACACATAAATTCAATTCTCAAATATGCACACAAAAATATTTAAAAGAAATCACGAAGAAAAAGAACTAATTTCGGTTGACGTGAAACTTACCTTAAATCCCGATGCTCCTAACTCTCTTCCTCAATTCCGGTCTCTAAATATTTACCTTTTTAATTAAGATGACATAGTTAGTCATTTTTTTTCTATTTTAATAGTTTATCTGATTTCCAAATTTTTATTTTTATGGCGTTTCATTATTATTCATTAATTAATTAATAACCTTTATTAATCTTGTCACTTTATTTCTTATTTCACTTTCTTCATTACTGTTTTTAATGGAATCTAATATTCGAATTATTAAAAGAAATAATACGGATCAATATTTTTATTATTAAACTATCCGAATCATTATGTTAATAATATTAGTTCGTACGAATTATAATTACATGCCAGAAACTTCAATTTCAGTTTATCCTATTCAAAAAAAAAAAATCATAAGGTTTTAATTCAACTAGTTATGATAATAATAGATTTAAAATATTGATTAACTCGTTTATTATTTTGAATTACTTGATTAGTCCATTAACCTTATTATGGAATTATCTTAAAGTAATAAATTTATCCAAGTGATTACTTATCAATTAATCAAGCCAATTTCATCATTAATATTTCTCATCTCTAATAAATTCAATTTTCAGATTATTAATATTATTATAAATATTATTATTATTATTACTATGGTTATTATTATTATTATTATTATTATTATTATTATTATTATTATTATTATTATAACAGATTTTCGGCCCAGTCTATAACTTCTATTGGCCTAGGAGTAAAAACACAACCCACTCAACAACAGGCCAAAAAAATAATAATAAGAAGAAGACTGTTGTCTTCTTCCTCGTGAGGTTGCCGGACGGAAAAACGTAGGGAGAGGCTTACCTCGACGGGTGCGGTCAACGAAGGTGGTAGCAGAATCCTTATGGGTCGATGATGGACAGGGATGGACTGGCGGCTTCCACAGCTCTCCTTTTTCCTCCGTTCTTTGACGTCAAAACTCAAATCGGCGAAACTCCGGCGACTGATATCTCTCTCCTCCGATGATCGTTTTCTACGTTTCTTTCGCCGTTGGATTCCTCTCACAAAGGGGAAGGTTTCTAGAGTATTTTTAAGGCTCGGTTTTTAGTGTAATGTTGTGTTGGATTTTCACCTATATATATACTACGTATATATTTATGTATATATGTATATGTTTAATGTTTTGCAGCTTTTGGGAATGAAAAAAAAACGCAGGCGAAGGGTGCTATTTATAGGTGTAGGTTGAGGGTAGTCAGGTTAGAGTTTGTGTTTAACTTGAACAAATTCTTCCGCAGCTTCGTTCTTATCTCCAACTTTGTACGTAGTTTATCTCCGTAGGAAGCTTATTATCGGCCAGTTGAGATAGTACTGAAGGAGTTTTAACTCAATTATGACTCTAAATGTAGCTCGTTTTAATTTAAAAATTCATTCTTATCTATATACTTGTATACTAGTCTTTAACCCGTGCGATGCACGAGATAACAAATTAATTAATACTCCGTATATATGTGACACGAAGTTACTCTTTATAAATTACATGATATTTATTAGGTTTACCAATAATTACTCAAGTGTATTCATATGAAGAGACTAACTCAATAAATTATAGTGTTGTAATGTATACCAAATTCAGACATTCATTTTTGTACTTTTAGGGCGATTTGCATTATTGAAAAATTGATTCACATAAATCATTTTTTCAAAATTTTGAATAGAGCGATTGCACCCACTATAAATTTCATATTAAACATTAAGGAAGCTAGGAGGAGGCAAATGTTAGATCCGTAATGGGCTTTAAAACACCAATATTCACAATTCATATTAATTAACTTTAAAGTTCAACATGATCTTCAATTCTAACCCGTAAAACTTCAACACTTAAGTTCTACACATAAAATCCGCAACTTTAGCAGGATTATGCGTTACTTGATGTGCTGATCGCTTCACACGATTAAAGGATTTAGTTAACTCTCGAATGTAATCCACCAGCGCTCGAAAAGAAGAATTGTTCATCCCACCCTTGATTAAATTAATTACTTAGGGAAACAAACCCCTGCACTCGACCTCGCCATCTAGCTCAGACCGAATCTACCCTCTTGCGGCTTAACCCAACCGCAAGCTGGCTGCAGCTGCCCACACGACATACTCGTTTATCTGGTAGTTGTCCGTCACTCCGCCATGAATTAAGTTCCCCTATTACAATGTTCCTAGCTGGTGTTGAGTTATCCTGCCATAGTATGTCATTTCTAGCCTTCCATAGGCCCCAAATCAACATTATAACCTTGTTGCAACACTCCTCCCTAAAGTTAATAAAGGTACTCTCAATCCACTCCATAAAAGACTGTCTCCTCATCTATGTGGAAATTACATTTCGTTCATAAAACCTTACACATGTTGTGCTACTGGACATAAACCAACCTAATGAATAAGGTTCTCCTTGCCGACTGACAGAAAAGGCATACTTGATAGGACTTGGCCATGTTGTGCCCACCGGTGGAAGGCAGGCTGTACAAACTTGCTTAAAGAAAGTTTACATGTTTCGAGATTGGAATCGCAAAATAAAGTGAACATTAATTATCAAGAGTTGTCACGGGATATCAAATTAAAAGTTGTTAATGTATTCAAAATATACTCTAATACAATGCACCAGTATTATGACCTGATAAACACATAGTAGGTGTTATTACTTAAATACAAATTTTTTTATCATCAGAAACATAAAAGTTATCTATTAAAAACATTCTCAATATAATTTAGAAAACCATAATCGTAGCATAGACAAAACAATAGGTAAGCTATCGTCCATATGATTCTTTGTCTCAATAGCCTTTCCTCATTAATAAAGGGTGAAAAAATATGAACTCTTTACTTTTCTCTCATTGTTAATCCACTCAGAGATCTAAGTGAATGGAGAGATCACGAATTCTATCCAACATTGTTTATATTTTTCATTGGTATTTTCAGTAAATTTTCATAAGGTGTTATGTGGACAATGTACTACTCAGTAAAAATGCACAAGAGTACAGAAAATAGTCTTAAATAAACCAGACCTAAACAAACCAAATGAGAAGAGAAACTATATTAAAAATCATAAACTATCTCCAAATCTCCAATATGATTTTTAACATAGTTCATCAATGGGTCTTCCGCTAGCATGCCACTGATCACACAGACCCCACTTATAAAAGATGTCATTGGACATGGACACACAAACTCCTAAAGGTGGTATAGGCGAATGACAATTGGCGTAAACAATGTCAATTTTCATACTCCGTATTAGAAGTATTTTAATAGTTTTCTTCTATCATTAGATATCTTGACCGTTGGTAGTTAGAAATATAAATGTAGAATATAAGTCAACTACAAATATTGCATTCAATACTGGTACATTTAGCTCCATTAATTAAATGTAACTATATTGAAAATATTCCGCTTCACAAAAAATTACGCCCATTTAATTATTTAATAGGGAAAAATAATTAAAATACCCCAAACTTTGATGGGCGTGAGATAAGCACCCCAAACTTGTATATGTAATTTAAATACCCCAAATTTTATATAAAAAATATTTTAGCACCATGGTCATGTATTATTTCTTTCAAAAATATTAGTTTTTGATGTTTATTTCATAATTTGATAATTTTTAGCATTCATAAAGATACAATTAACATTCTAAGCTTCCATTGTAAAATAAATAGTATTACCCACCACTATATATAATTCTAATGTTTTCAATTTGCTATTTTAAGTTATGTATTTAATACCATAAGTTTACATTTTTGAAAGAAATAATACATAACCATGGTGTTAAAATAACTTTTTATATAAAGTTTGGGATATTTGAATAACATATGAATGGTCAGGGTGTTTATCTCACACCCCTTCAAAGTTTGGGGTATTTTATTTATTTTCCCCTATTTAATATAGTATAGAAATAACAATTCACTTAGACAATGTTTCATTTAAGATATATGTAAAAATGATACAAATGGTAAATATTTAAGAAAACCTAAGGACCCATTTGCTAGTATATATTTTCG